ATGAATCGAATTATAACAATTTTTCGTTCACAATTAATTAAATAAATTCTTCCCGTGCAGTTTTCCGTGAAATTACGATCCATTGCATCGAATCGATAATCTTAACGTGCTTCCTACGAGCAGAAGCATTCGTATCGATTTTCCATAAAAGAAAAAGGAGAAACTTGTGGTATAAATTTTTTAAAACCCGTTCCCTCCCCCTTTTGTATCTTTTATCTTCATGCCTTCATTCGAGAGATTATTTCCTTTCTCGTCCATCCATTATTTCCCCCGACTTTTTCCCCTCCTCCCTTCGATTCGTGCACGCGTGCTTTTTTTCGTCCGGCCAAGGGAGAAACTGTTCTTGCTCAAGATCCTTTGGGAAACGAAGGAGAATGCAAAGGAGAAACTTGCGAGCATTCTTACGGGCGAAACCACTCCGCGAAAGTAATCCGGAGTTGCGAGAGGATGGTGCTTTTTCGTTGCATAAGAATTTTCAAAGAATTTCCTCTTCTCCTTTCTTATATTCAATCCCTCTTCAATTACACAGAATTTTCCGATTCTCTTAATCTCATTCCACGCTCTTTCTTTACCGTGATTCGATGCTCTCGAGACATTTACTCGAATTGGAAGAAAGAACAATCGATGTCGCGAACTTAATGTCAACATAATGGATAAAAGATCTTAAAAATTCACGTGAACCATCCGTGAATAATTGGAAAAGATTAGACGAAATTTGAATCAAGTACAAAATTCGATTTATTCTCGTCGCTTTTTAAAACAATTTTCATCTTCGATCCTTTCGAGCATCCTTTCCTTTTGGCGTGACGATGATCGTTTCTGTAAAAAAATTGAAACACCGTGACGCGTGGTTTCCGGGTTTAGAGTGCGCGGATTCTTCCATTAAAGATGGAAAAAAGGAGGGGAAGGGGGGAAAAATGCATCAGACGTTTTCGAATTAATCTTCACGGTGCGAGACGGTTCCTCCTCGAACGATTGCGTTTGATCGATGTTTCGCGCTACGTAAGTGTTTCAATTAAAGAGAAGAAACAGGCGGAAGTTATCTTTCGTCCGCTGCGTTCCGCGTTTTAATTCAATTACTTAATTGGACGGGGAAGATTTTCGATTGGGGAAGAGGTCGTGAATTATTCACAAGTCTGCGACGGGGGAAATATCGAAATCGTGGAAAATGAGGAATAATTGGAGGATCGGTGAAATCGGATAAAACAATAATTTGTTTCAATTATTCGCAACGTTGCTTCCACCTCGTTTACGGTTGTTTCACGGAAAAAATACGCATCTTCTCTCGTAGCCTCGTCATATCTCTAATTGAAATTTTCTTGTTCCAATTATTAATTAATTATTCGTAAATAATGTATAATCTTTATATATAATGTATATAATATTCTATTATATTTTATTTTGTAATTTGGTTAAATGAAAAAAAGAAATTCGATCATTCGAATTTTTTTATCAAAACATCCTCGTCCTCTTCCGTTTCGGTCACTACAATTTCTTGCTTCTTGAACGTCAGATCAAAATCGTCCGGAAATTGAGGGCGATACGTGGTGAAGTCCTCCGTTTTGCAATAGTCGGTGAAGAAAGTCAAATATTGCATCTCCTCCTCGGTTGGCTGCAGCGCCACCGCCAGTCCCTTCAATTTGTGTATTTTTGGAGGCGATCGCCACATCATAGTCCTCTTCTTCGTCGGAGGTGGCTCCATTGCGCGTTTCAGGGAGACCAGCAATCGTTGCATAAGCTCGAACTGTAAAGTAAAATAATAATCGTTTCGTGAAAACGATTCGTTTCGGATTAGCATAAGATAGAAAGAAGAAACATTGTGATATGTCCAGCCAGTGTGAATCGAATAAGAACAAGATATAAGTAATATTAAGATTGTAAATTAATTTTCGCGGATATATCTAACCTTCTTAGCGGCTTCCTCATGCTGCTTCATGACCTTCAGCTCCTGCTTGAAGCCCTCTTTCTCGGCAGCCTTCACCACTTCCGGCGGTAGAGTATCCAGCTTCAAATTCAAGTCGTCGTGTATCTTCTCGATCCATTTCATCATCGAGAAACTATCCAGATTCGCTTCGTTCACCCCGACGCAACTCTCGTACGCATCCTCGACGAATACCTGAAGACGAAGCACTTCCTCCGAGCAAACGGAATCCCGGAACACGGTTTCCAAAAGCTCGTTCGCGTGCTTTTCCAAATCTATGGCTCTGCTTTCCAATATGTGTATGCTTTCCTAAAAATAATACGTTTTCACACGTAAGTATGTATGTATGTACACACGTATATTCACCATTCTACTCTACTCTACTTTAATCCATGCGATGTATTTTTAATTCAATTCGATCGATTATATATATCATTACGCGCAACTCCTTGATTATATTGGTTATTTCTTCAATTTCTATCTTCATCTGTTGTTCAGCACTTTGAATCGTCGACATCATTTCACTCATCGGCTCTGCAAGACTCTCCAAATGGATCAACGCGTTCAAATTTTGCATTTCTATCGATCTGAACACGTTGATCAGTTCCCACGGTTCCTGAAAATACAAATCCGCGGGACCCGCCTCGCTAATATCTTGCTCGAAAAAATCTGGAAAAAGCCAACAACGTAACGTAACATTTTTTTTATTTCTTCTGAATAGTTAACAAGTTAGCATTAAAAATAAGAAAAAGAGAGAGAGGGGAGGAGAGAGAATTCTCGCAAATAAGAAACTTCTAATGCATCAGTGACTGGTAGAAAGGTAATGATTCCCGAAATGATAATTTCATAGAGACAATATATACTCTAATGCTCTAAAATAATATAAAGTAATAATAAATTTTTCCACAGGTTCGACTATTATTGTTTTGAACGAAGATAAAAGATAGATATTTGCCGCAATCACCTATAAGAGCGTCGAGCGAAGCAACATCGCCCAGCATTCTGTATCGTCCGAATAAATCCTCCGGATGGTCGTAAGTGATGCTCTCCCCGGAATGACTGCGATGGATCCAATCGTGCTCCGTTCGCCAAGAAATCGGAGATATCTGATAGAGGAATCGTTGACACATCTTCATCATTCTCCAGCTCTCTTCCCAGTGGTATACTTCCAATCTAATCCGGCCATATTCAACGGAAAGCTTATTCCTGTGATCCGTCATCTCTCTAGTTTTCTTCGACTCGTTTTCAGCAAGGAATAGACTTTTCATACTCTCCTCGTGATCCTTCGAGAGAAATTCCTCGAAACCGCTTATGTATTGACGATATCGTCGCTGGATCGGAAAAAATACGTGGTGAAGAACACACGTGGCGGAAGAATAACGGTGAGAGATATTGGAACATGGAAAATTTCTTATTTTTTAGATTGGACAAACCTTGATCTTATCGAGTCTTTTTTGCTCCTCGACGAATTGTTGATCTATGCGAATGCAATCGTCCATTTCCTGGCCAGCTAATAGCCGACACTTTAAAATTTCACGAGAGTCTTCCACGTACTTGTGTACGGAGAATTTTTCTCTCACTAGCCTGGCATCCAGTTCCGAAAAGTAACGCGGATCCACATCGGTGATGGCTATAGCTTCGTCCAAATCTTTGTGCCTTTTTGCCTCCAAGGCTTCGATGTCCACGTCCACCTTGGCAAAAGTAACAATAATCGTACAACTTTCGATCTAAGGAAATTCTTCTGAAATCGAACAATCGAAAGATGAATAGTTTTTCATCGTTGTAACTGATAATAATTGAAATTCGACATTTTTGGAATATCCTTCTATTTTTTTAATTGCAAAGTAAAGATTATTATAGATATACCGTGTTTGGTATATTAAAGAATAGCTTACGCGAAGAGATCGTAAAAGTTGTTGTAAAGTTTTGGTGTTGGAAAGCGCCCTTTTTTCCTTATCCGTAGTACGTTGTTTCGCTTTCCAGTATTGAAAGTAAGCGAACATGAGAGAGCAAGGAGGATAAACGAAAAAAGATTGCTCCTCGAGAACATTTCTGGCTTCTCCCATGTGTTCATGGCCTTTGGTAAAATAGTACTGGGTCCTAAATTATTTAGAAAAAAATGTAGTAACTTTTCTATTTTTCGGAGATGACAATTTGAAAATGAATTATATCTATGATGAGTAATATAATTGATTTAAAACAAACTACTCTCTTTGTTAAATTAAATCTTTGATATATACTTCGAACTGGATTGTTTGTAAAACAATGTTTATTATTTTGCAGAAATATATACTCGAAAAACTCCTTCAGAGTTTTCTTCCTGGGCACAGTTATCTTCCGTCTCTTCTGAGCAATATGACGCTCCCTACAAGCTCTTGACGTTGGATCGCTCATTCTCCCGTAATTCAGCTCGTGCTTTATTCAAACTCTCGGCTTTTCACCTGTCGGCCATTCACCTGTGTCGCTGTGTAGAAAAGCTCGCCTCCTCATCTGGTCGCGTTGGTCAAAGGGAAACGCCAACAGAGACGGCATGCATTTGATTAAAACTTTTCAAGTGTCTGAAAAATAATGGAAACTTCGAAGAATCTGTTTCTATCGAACAAAGTTATTGCGGATATAATTAATTAGAAAAAATTCTTATAATTTTCTATATATAGAAGGATATAATTTTTTTAATTGTATTAATTTCATTGAGAAAAAATGTTGCTTCGACAGACACAGACATTAAAATATTGATAAAAAATATATATATTTATATATTAAAATAATATATTTCACAAATATTTATAATTTATTTTGCTTTTGAAATTCTAAAACGTATTAATATATTATTTTCATGAGTATTTAGATATTTTTGATATTTTTGAGTATTTTTTGATTTTAGATGAATCTTAAGATTTTATATTAATAATTATATTCGAAATTTTTTAAAAAATACAACATCAAAAATGAATAATATATGTTATTCATATTCCATTCGGTAATTTTCGCTAAGAATTTTTTATATAATCAATATATGATTTTATGATTTTATTATTATTAACTGTCTGAATCCTCTTGAATATCTGAAATTTTTATCTGTTAAACTAATAATATATCAAACTAATTAATTTAACTAAAATTTGCTTTCTTTCTAATTTATTATATAGTATTAATAAATTCATAGATTTCTATGTATCTTTGTCTCGAGAACTTGTCTCGAGAATATTAAAATGAAGCAAAAAATTGAAAATATTCTCGAGCAATGCAGTGAAAAATTGATTCCTTAAGATTGGTATGCCTGAAACATGCGAATTCAAAGCTTAAAGAATTACTTACTTTTTAAAACAAATTCAATTCTTGTACTTTTCTTAGTGATAAAACTGCTAGATTTAAACATTTAAAAAAAAGAAAGAGCTGAGAAAAAGAAAAAGAGAGAAAATTCGATAACCTTCTTTTTAATATATATCAACCTTCTATCAGCAAGTTGACGTTTCGTAGATAAACGGTTGTTAAGTGGAATTGTTTGCCATGCGCGTTGTATTTTGAAGAATACTTCATGATTTTCTGATTGAATTATGTATAGTATGAATTAACTGCACGAACAAATCAAGATTGTTTTATCCACAATTTATTATATTTTAGACACATCATTGTACAATGATTCTGAAATGTAAAAAAATTTAATTATATTTTCATTTTTTTAAAATTTAAAAATTTAAATTTTATGATGTAACATATATATTTAATATATGTATCTATTTATTTAATCTATGAATTTTAAAATTTAAATTTAAATTTTAATAGTTTCAATATAATAAAAATATTTTGATATTTTCTGTGTTTAGTGTAACATACGAATAAATTTTTTAATAGCATAAAAAAATTCTTGTGAAAAATTAATGTAATCACTATAAAAATTAAACGTAGCTACAATCTTAATAAGATTATTATATTGTGATCTGTAATATGATATAATAAAAAATACATTATCTAACTTAAACTAGAAAAATTTAGTATAATATAAGTAATCTAAATAATTTTAAACATCAAAATTTTTATATTAATTGTAAGATAAATATTTAATTTTTTCATGACATTTTATTTTATTCTAATTTATTTATTATTTTCTTATTATTGTCATATCTTTCATCTTTAGTTGAATACAGATTTGTTTATACTTTTGTTAATACTTCTCAAACAACTATTCGTCAAGATTATGGAATTTTTCCTATTTCTTTTTTTTACAAATTTTTAAATGAATACATTTTATCGATAAGTTAGGTGACTATTGAAAAATTTTGATTAGCGCCATCTCGCGTTTGAATACTCGAAACTTTAATTTATTATTACTATAATGATGAAATGAAACAGAATATGAAAAAAAATATTTGATATCAAAAACAAGGAAAATAACCTTGTACGAGAAAGATAAAAAGTATCTTCTTCCACTTTGAAATTCCATAGAAAATTTATTAATTATTCGTTTTTTACTTAAAATTTTAGTATTTTTGAGTTTCAATCTTGAAAGTTTCTCATATCAATTTTAAAATTAAAATTTTTTTTCTTTAATTATTTATTAACAATTAACGCGTCTAATATTTTCTAATGTATCAAAGATGTTATAATAAAAATTGATAATTATTCAAAATTTTTTCACTTTCAAGCTAGATCTTCGAATAAATTTTTCGTATTTTTAAAATTTCTTTAAAATTTAGTTTAAAGATATAAAAGTTAAAAACAAATGTTCAATGTTCAATATATTAAAATATATATTAATTGTTAATAAACAATTATTTAAAAAAAAATTCATTAAATTAATAAAAAAAATTTGCCTGAAATTCTAACTTGAAGTGCAAGTTTGAAAAACAAAAATTTTGATTAGGAAACAAATTAATTAATTTTCAATATATCTTTAATGCATTAGAAATAAAATGCGTTAATTGTTAATAAATACTTAAATTAATTTTTTAATATATAAATATATATATATATATATATTATTTTTAATATATTAATATATTATTATTTTTAATATATATATATATTTTATATATTTTTTTTATCTTTTGTATATCATACAGATATTTTTTTTTATAATTTTAAAAAGTATGAATACTTATTATTAATAATTAAAAAATTATTAAGTATAAAATTGATAAATTCTTCTGAATTTGATTGAGTTATGAAATAAATTAAATATTACATATTACATATTACATATTAAAATATATAATATTTAAATTTTGCAATTTATCGTATATATTTATAAAAATTGATATACATAATGTAATAAAACATCCCTATAAAAATATATTGGTAACTTGTTCTTGTTAAGGTATATCAAGATTATACGATTATAATATCAAGTATCAATCATGTATTTAATTTTAAAGGAAATTCGACAATTTGTACATTTTATTTCGAAACATCGATATGTAAGTTAAAAATAAATTAAATCTAATTTAAATTGTTATAATATTTTTTTACACTTACTTTTTTACTATTATTATAACATTCTTAACCTATTCTTTTATAGTAACTTTAACCTTTTGTCTCATAAAACATATTCTTAACAATAAAAATTAAAAAAAATAAGTTATTAAATTATACTAGAAATAAAAAAGTAAATTAAATATATTAATATTTAACAAAATAACAAAATTTATTTCTTTTCTTAATATGCAAATATTAATTATATTTCAGATTAGATATTATTGTAAGAAAGTAGAAGATGATATGGAAATTCCTACAAATCCATTAAAACAATATTATAGTGCAAATGATCAAGTTACTAATGGTGTTGTATATGATTATAAACCCTTCAAATATACTTGTATAGCAGGTAAAATATATTCATGGTGTTTATGTGGTAAAAGTAATAAACAACCATTTTGTGATGGTACTCATAGAAATCAATTTCTTCAAATTAAACAAAAACCTATACGTTTTACTGTTAAGGAAACCAAAGATTATTGGCTCTGTAATTGTAAACAAACATCAAATCGACCATTCTGTGATGGTACACATTTAAATGAAAATATTGTACCAAAGAAATAATTAATTATATAAATATATAAAGCAATAATTCAATTGTTAGTAAACAAATTTTTTGTTCAATATAATTTTAATTATAAGAAATATATATTTTTATTTTTTTAAATTTTATAAATTTTTATTTTTTAATTTTCCCTGACAAAATCCTAATTTCCTCTTTTCAATGTTACGAACGATTCATAAAAAATTTTAATTCATGTATGTAATTTTCAATGTTTCTATCGATAAATGAAAATTCGCTATAAGTAATCTAAATGCTTATCTGCTGACTTCACTTTATGTTTGAATTTTAAACGTGTTATGCGATCGTAAGCAACGAGTTTTACAACAAATAGAATGTTAAACTAATTATAAACAATTTTTAGATAATTGTAATTTAGATAAAATAAATTTTATTTAGTTATTTCGTGTTCATTAATTGGTTTTATAATGAAATCTGCGTAAGTTTTCGATACTTTTAATAAATTTATTGCAATTTCGTATTATTACTTTAATTTTAATTTTTTTACAATCGCTTTAATCATTTAAACTATTGTAAATATAATTTTCAATAAAAAATTTATATTATTTGATTTCAATTAGAAATATAAAACCACCTGTTGCAACACGAAAGCACGGAAACCGGGCAAAATGCGACAATGATACATCTAAAGAGCCTGTTAGAGTTTTTTGCCGTTTAAGACCAATAGTTCACTCTAATGATGTATCTTGTATGAAAATTATTTCTGATACAGCCTTGGTTATTACTCCATCAGAATCAATAACGAATGTTCGTAATGTAAACAAAGCTATTCAAACGTGTTTTAGTCACGTTTTTGGTCCTAATACTTCTCAAAGAGAAGTATTTAATATTGTAGCTTTGCCACTTGTTGAAAATCTTCTTAATGGCAAAAATAGTTTACTCTTCACATATGGAGTAACTGGAAGTGGTAAAACTTATACTATGTCTGGTACACATGATGCAGGTATCATGCCTCGTAGTTTAGATGTTATTTTTAACAGTATAGCAAATTGTCAAACAAAGAAATTTGTTTTTAAACCTGATAAATTAAATGGTTTTGATATACAAAGTGAAGCTGATGCATTGTTAGATAGACAAAATGAACTTCAAAGATTCGTTACTTTTTACAATGGAAAAACTCCTAAAATGTAAGTATAAATTTAAATATCATCATATTTACTGTGATGTTTTAATATTTTATATATTTTTCAAAGATGTAAAATAGATGGAAATAATTTTAGCAATGAAAATATCTTAAATTTAAGTAATGAATCTCAAACATTAGTCATTGATGAAGATAATGCATATGCAGTTTTTGTAACATATATTGAAATTTATAATAACAGTGTGTATGATTTATTAGATGAAAATGAAGGAAAGACAAAGTAAGTATAAATTTTAAGAAATTATATAAAATATTATAAAATTTATTAAAACATCAAAAAATTCAGAACTTTACAGAGTAAAATTATACGTGAAGATGGAAATAGAAATATGTATGTTCATGGATGTACAGAAATAGAAGTAAAAAGTTCAGAAGAAGCATTTGAAATATTTCAACGTGGTCAATGTAAAAGACATATTGCATATACTAATCTTAATGCAGAATCAAGTAGATCTCACAGTGTTTTTACTATAAGGCTTGTTCAGGTAATATAATTTAATTATAATGTAAACATTTTATATTTGCAATATTAATATCTTACTAGGCACCACTAGATAAGGATGGTGAACAAGTTGTTCAAAATAAACAAGTAATTTGTATTAGTCAATTATCTTTAGTAGATTTAGCTGGAAGTGAACGTACAAATCGCTCGAAAAATACTGGACAAAGACTCAGAGAAGCAGGTAATTTTAAAATATTAAAAATAATATTAAAATTCTATTATATATTATAATTATGTGTTATTGTTATATTAATACATAATATATAATAATTTATTAAATTTATATATAATAGGAAATATAAATAATTCGCTAATGACACTGCGTACTTGTTTGGAAATACTTCGTGAAAATCAAACTCAAGGTACAAATAAAATAGTCCCTTATCGAGATTCTAAAATAACACATTTATTTAAAAATTACTTTGACGGAGAAGGAAATGTTAGAATGATCATTTGCGTTAATCCTAGTGTCGATGATTATGATGAAACTATTGTAAGCATTCACATTTAAATTTGAATAATATTTGGAATATAAATTACTTATGTGAATATCTTTTTTTTTTTTTTTCTTCATATATACAACTACTCCAAGTAGCAAGTATTAAAGTTTGCTGAAGTTAGTCAAGAAGTACAAGTTACAAATTCTACAACTTCAAAATTAGATTTAGGATATGCACCTGGTAGAAGACAAGCTAATAAAGTAAGAAAATAAAAAGTTTGTATGCAGTATGTTAATTTAATACATATGATATCTTTAAAAAATTGATTTTAAAAACCAAATATAAATTATAAATATATAAAGATAGTGATAATAATAATGATTGAAATTTATTTATCAAGTTAAAATTAATTTAAAATAATCAATCTCTTAAAGGCATTCCATAAATATTTTATATTTTATATTTTTTAATAGATATTTAAAGAAGCAAGAAATAGATTAGAAAGTGCTGGTCATCCTATTGCAGCTGATTTAGAAGTTGATTTGGGTTTAGTATATAGGTATAGTATATAGATTTTAATACATAAGTAATTTTATTTTCTTATTATTCTCTAATAATAATAAAATTATTTTATTGTGTAATAAATTTTTTTTTAGTCTTGGAGGACCATTTCCAGAAATGGATATAACAAATCCACATAATGATGAAATAATCACTACACTTATGCGTTTCTTAGAATTGCGTATTCAAAAGCGAAATATTTTGCAAGAAGATCTGAAACAAAAACGTAATATTTAAAAGTATTATAAGATTAAAAAAATATTTCTTTTTTCAAAAAATTTATATCATATTTGTTTTTTTAGAAACCAATTTTAGAAATATGCTAGTAAAAATAGAACGGGAAAACGTATCATTAAAAATTGAAAATTCTACATTAAAAGCATCAAATGATCAACGACAAAAAAAAGTAAGTCTTTATACGAAGAATTAAAATCATAATTGTTATTGTATAAATTATAATTATTATATATTATTAATGATATTACATAGATAAAAAATTATTATAGATATCTGCTTTGGAAGCTCATATTTGTAAAACAGAAGCACAAATTGATACTTTATTATACAGATTAAATAGTGCAAATGATATAATCAGACATATGAAGCAAGAAGTAACTTTTTTTTTATATTATTATTTATTTGTATTTTTATCAAATAAAATAATTTTAATAATTGAAAAAATTTTTTATAGTTACAAAACAAAAATATGTTATTGAATCAACGTACAATAGATAAGCAAAAAGTAAAAGAAAAATATAGTAATAAAATTCAAGCAGAAACTGATAAAATGAGTAAAGAATTAGAAAGCAAACTTCGCAGACAACGTGAAATTCTTCAGGTACATTATGATATGTTTATATATTTTATATTATTATTATTTTATATTATTAATTTATTAAATATTTATTTAGAATCAAGTGAAAGAAAAAGAAGATAAATTGAAATTAATGAAACAGATATTAATAAGTGATGATGAAATAGATACAAAAAATAAATTAGAATGTAAAGAAAGAATTCAAATACAAAATGAAATTGAAATACCTACAACATCAAAAATCATTACAACTACTCCAAGTAGTATTTCAGAAGCTACACTTTCTACAACTACACCAAAAATTATGACAAAAGCTGTTTCAACGGTTAAATTTGATGATTATAATAACCGATTAAGTAGAAAAGTAAATATTATAATTACAATTTCATATAACATATATTTATATTTGTATAAAATTGTATTACCTTTATTAATATTTAGGATAGAATACCAGTAGTAAATCTACATTATAGAAGATCACAAAGTGCAGAGAGATGGATTGATCATCGACCTCCTGGATTAGTTCCGGTTGGTACCATTTTTCAACCAGTTATTCGAAATAAACGAAGTATCACACAATTAACAGATCCGAAAGATATTACAAACAAAGCATCCAGATATTGCCTTGTCGCACAGGAACAAGATACAGATGGTGAACTTGAAACTAAATTATACAAAGTTAGCATTAATAAGCTATAGATAATTTAATTATATTTATTATTTAAAATAAAATAAAATTTATTATTTAAAAAATAATAAAATTTCTAAATAATAGGGAGATATATTACCAACTAGTGGAGGAGGAGCTCAAGTGGTATTTAATGATATGGAACATTTGAAACAAGTTTCATTGCTTGCAAGAAGAAAACGTAGTAGTTATTTGAGTCCCGAAAAAAATTCTACTTCTCAAAAAAGTTATTGTGATTCAGAAGAAAACAATTCAAAAAAACCTCGCGTATAATTTATTAAAAAAATTTTTGTATTTTATTGTTTTATTTTCAAATATCTGACAAATCAAATAAGATATATAGATAATGCAGATATAAAAACCAAAGATATGAAGAAATAAAATTTTCTTCAATTTTTTTATGCAATAACTAAAGTACAAATAAGTTATAAGTATATAATTATTCGATATATTTTTGTTTCATTTGATGGTAAAATATATATCATTTGTTAGCAAATTACTTTATATAAAAAAAAAAAATATTTTTTAGTTTAATCTATGTAATCATATTGTTATAATAAATATTTTTTACTTCAAAAATGATTCATTTAGAACTTATTATAAAATAAAATTCAACATACACTTTAATATTTTTTTATTTATAATTTCTTAAATGTCTTATGTTAAATGTCCATTTATTTCCCGTAGCTTATACAACACAGACTCTGTGAATAATACAAATGTTAGGACAGAAGCCTGGATATGTACTGCCAACAGCAAAGTAGTGAATATATACATCATTTCTACATGGTGCGAGTTGCGAAAATTTAAATTGAAAAATAATCAAAATCTTTCTTGTAATTTAGTTAAGTAAACGATTTACAAATTTATATGCTTTTGA